AATGGACGTTCAAACATTTTTTTGGTCAGCATAATCAACCAACCGAGAGTGTAATTGGAAAAATTGTTCATAAATTCAAACAAACTGGGTTGGTGGCAGATGTGAAAACACCATTGCATACTCGTTTACGCCATTCAGCTGAAAACATTGCTGCAGTGCATGAGAATGTAGCCGAAAATCCAGACACCTCTATTCGTCTTTTTGTGCCACTGAAGCCTTGGCTGACATATGGCTGATATTATTTTTCACACATAATTGCCATGACTTAAATAACATGTTCCAATAGAGAAATAAATAAATTTTCACCAATAACACTGATTTATTTACTGCTGACTTTGATCTATCTTAATGAAACACCCTTCATATATATATATATATATATATATATTAATTAAGTCACATTGGAACTAATGACGGTTTCCTTCTGCCTGTTTGAATCCTGCCAGAATGAAAAAGGTTTTTGTGTGACATTTCATTTTCTTAGAACTTCATTGGATTAAGGTTATGTTTATGTTGATGCAACTACACACATGAAAGAAGGAAAGATGCTGGGAATTTTAAAGTAAAATTTTTTTTTTGTAACATATATGTTATGAGTGTATAATCTAGCCAATTTCATTTAGATCCCGTGGTACTGATTTACCCGATCTTGTATATAAAACAACATCGAACATATGAAATGGAAACAGACAATATTTTACCTTTCATAGATATCATGCTACATCACATTAACAGTAGTTTAAAACATAGTGTCCATCAAAAATCAACTAATAAAAATGATCTCATAAATTTCTATTCTGATCATAACAACAAAATAAAATTCAGAATAATCATCGGATTCTACTTAAGAACACTTAGAATTTGCAGCATTTACATGAAGAGGAGAAATACATTGAAAACACTTTCAAGCTCCCCCAATACCCTAACTATTTCATATTCAATGCGAAACAAGATTCATAATAGAAAAGTGGTACTTCCTGAAAAATTCAACAAATGAAAAAATATATTGTTCAACCCACTAACTCTATCGCAACTACAGTTGAAAAGAATTTATCAAACTAAACATAAAATGTCCCAACTATGTCTAAAACAATAAAAGACTTAATCAATACAAAAGAAAACAATAAGCAAAATCTTGAATGAGGAATTTACACTATTACCTGTAATAATTGCCACAAAGAATACATTGGAGAAACCTAGATTATAAAGGGATCTTTTACAAAACAACACACTAAATGCATTAGTTGCTCACCTTAATGCAACTGACCACAATTTTGATATAAAAAATGCTACTCAAATTAAAAGAAAAAACAAGTTACTAAGATGAAAATATTTACAAAGTGTTTTAATTGCTAGATCATCAACAGTAAATTTGTGTCCAGGCTTTGACATTTCATCATTCTTGGCAGATCTTTTATTATCACAATGTGAAATATTTAATACCAAAAGTGATAGGAGCATAAACAAAAAGAAAAAGAATCTAAATGAAATTTGCTAGATTATACACCCAAATACATTATAAAAAAAATTAATGTGTATATTTAGGCAGCATATCTTCATTCAAGCATGTTTGGTTGAATAATCTGGACACATTATATCTATTTATTTTTATTTTGATCCTCTCAAATTCTCTTATAAATTTTTTAATGTTGATATTAAATTTATTAAGGAAGGCGCCATAGTTTTTTTTCTTCTTTTCTTTTATTTTCATTTTCCCAAGTACTTTTAATCTCATCCAACAACATCTTCAGGAGTGAATTGATAAGACAAAAAATTTAATGTAACTGATAGTTGTGATTTTTTTTGCAAACCTGCACAAATGTGCTCTGTCACAATTGTTTTTAAAATTAATTGTATACATATGTGTGTGTGTTTGCATAAAATTCAGTCAAGCATTTTAGAGGGTAAGCATGAATTTGTAAACACTGACTGCTACTGCTGATAATGCAAAGCTCTTCTATGAATCGAGCACTCTGAGTCACTGACGTTTATTCATAAATACATAAAAATTCACCTTCCTCTCTGCCAGGAGCTGATAGCTTAGGGAAAAAAATCTCCTACTGATGCCAAATCAGTCAGGTTTCAATCCTGACTTGAGGCAATTGGATGTCTAGCCACACTGATGAGCTGTGATATAGCGAAACAGTCTATCTATGGATGACAATATATATATATATATATATATATGTGTGTGTGTGTGTGTGTGTGTGTGTGTGTGTGTGATATATGAAAGTGGCAGGCTACAGGGAAAAAATGACTAAAATTCTAAAATAAGATTTTAAATTTTCTGTCAAAGTAGAAAACAGATTACAAATTATAAGAATAGAATTTTATGCCAACTGCTTTGAGAAAATTAAAAAAATTCAAGTTAGTATCCCCTGAAAAGTTTATACTCATATCATGTTGAAACACTGGTTCTCATCTGATTACCGAAGTTAAGCAACACTGAACCTGGTCAGTACCTAAATGGGTGATCCCTTAGGAATGCCAGGTGCTGTAAACCCCTACCAACATTGGCCAGTACAGTAGAATAATGACCCATTCCTCTCCATGAATGGCCAAGCTAAGATCTAGGGAAGGCCTGCTGTCCACGAAAGGACCTTCACAGGCTGAGAAGAAGAAGAAGAAGAAGAAGAAGAAGAAGAAGAAGAAGAAGAAGAATGAAACTAATAAATATGAGAATTTTGCAACAGGTTGTGATCAGTCAATTTAAAAATACACTGCATAACTCCTCATACAAAAAATGATAAGTAAGAGACAAGAGATAAAAAAAATCATAAGTGAAACTACATGCCAGCTTCAATAAAGTTAGGATGCATGTACTTCCTTTTCTTCAGTAAACTAAGGAATGGTATTTACTAAAATGTATGTATCAGACACATGTTCATTTTCTAAGAATGTTTCCAATGAGGAAATTATTTACTATGAAAAGAAACTTCAACAGAAAATCAACTTACATACAAAAACTTTACTGTAAAAATGTAAATAAATTGCAGTTTTAAATTTTACCACTAATACTGAAAATTTATTCACTATATTAATTGTGAATAAGACAAATTACTAATGCTACTATCAACTCCCTTCACACCATTCCCCTCAGCCTGAGAGATGGATAAAGAAGAGGCTTATAAAAGCATACAGTAACACACAGTAAAAAGGCACACACTGGGATAATTATGATTTTTTAGGGCAAAAATGGTGAGAAGATGTGAGAACACTCAGTTTCTAATGTACAACTAAATGAGATCTTTTGATGGAAACTTAGGCTTTTAATGAAGACATTCCTTAAGTGAATAGAATTCAAGATAGGTCATCTTTCCATGAATAAGGGGAGGTGGAAAAGACAAGACAACATTAACATTTCTTCATGAGTCGTTGGTTTTATATTTTGGAAATGGTCACAAAATATGAAAAAAATTAACAATTATTATCAAACAGGGTAACTTTAAACCTTCTCATCCAACTTTTGCGTAAACATTTTTTAGTATTTTCTCTGAGTTCATGAGACCTTTAATAAGCACTACTCTTTAGATCCAGTGTGTTTTTATATTAATGAGTTCATGAGATCTTTACTAAGCCCCACTTTTTAGATCCAATGTGTTTTTATATTAATGATTTCATGAGATCTTCATTAAGCCCTACTTTTTGGATACAATGTATTTTTATATTAATGAGTTCATGAGAACTTCAATGAGCCTTACTTTTTAGATTCAATGTTTTTGAAGACAAAGTAAAGAAAGTTTTTAAGGATGGAAAAAAAGTGTCCTGACTGCATTATTATTTAACAACGATGATTATTAACTGATATTTTCTTGAGAGTTATACATCCGATTACCAACAAACACTTGAAATGAGATGCAAAAGTTGCATTTCTTTTTTTTCCATTATTGCAAATTGTATTAAACAATGTACTTCTAACTGATTCTTTGGTATTATGCTTTTGCCTCTTAAATAATGTTAAATTAAATTGTGGAATATGACCACATTAATTATGTAAATTATTTTTCGAAGGAAATAACCCATTTAATCTCATTTTATAGAATGCAACTGACATTTAATTAGAATTGCTTGTAATACGCAAAATAACAATTTTGCTATTGGCAACTTTGAGAACTTTTTTACTGTGATTATTTTTTTGTATAGAAAACATTTCCCATATTGATTATTAATAGTTGCATTGACAACGAACAAGATAAAGGAGGCCTAGTCGATAGGAGCCTTGGTTAAGCGGACATATTTACCTAGCAGTCGGGAGTTCAATCCCTGGCTTGTGTGTTACAAAAAACAACATTTATTTCAGTTCAAAGGAGAAATAAAGCAATAATCACAAGTATGAAACTTTAAAGACTTAAGAGGGCATATTTACCTAGCAGTCAAGAGTTCAATCCCTGGCTTGTGTGTTACAAAAAACAACATTTATTTCAGTTCAAAGGAGAAATAAAGCAATAATCACAAGTATGAAACTTTAAAGACTTAAGAGGGCATATTTACCTAGCAGTCAAGAGTTCAATCCCTGGCTTGTGTGTTACAAAAAACAACATTTATTTCAGTTCAAAGGAGAAATAAAGCAATAATCACAAGTATGAAACTTTAAAGACTTAAGAGGGCATATTTACCTAGCAGTCAAGAGTTCAATCCCTAGGTTGTGAATTGCAAAAAAAACATTTACTCTGAATTGGATGAGAAATCAAGTAATAATCACAAATGTGAATTAACTTTGAAGACTTAATGGATACAAGATATACTCTAAAGTGGACAACAAAATAAGAGTAATCTCCTCCTGTGGAATGAACAAAAACATGTTTGTTCAGCTTAATATTCCCAGAAAGTTACTAACGACAAGAGATAGATCAGAGAGTACACAAATCCTTACTGCAGTTAAATGCAAATTTCATAAACTTTTCCATGACTATATTTTATGCACATCAATAAGGCTACATAAGGTTTGAATTCAGAGTTGCCCTTCTACTGGTTACCAACTACAGCTAGAGATCTCATTCTACTTTATTATTTAATCCAACATTGAGGGGAGAATAGATGGATTCATACCATTCCCAAATGTATTTGTGTAAAAGTTAATATAATGAACTTGACCAGAATTCAAACTCAGCTCATCAATTTCACATTCCAAGTTGTTAACCATTACACCATTACATATTGATTAAAGACATGAAAACAACCAAACTACCACTTTTAAATAGACAATCTTTCTCACCAGAAACTATCTTAACTATTTATAAGCCTACCACTTATCATTGCTTTGAATATTGCTGATACATCTGGCCTGCTATATATTTAGAGACTCTTAACAAAATACAAAGAAGAATTTGCAATGTTACTGGTCCAGACCTGGCATCCAGCCTTCAGTCGCTTTCCCACCAATGTCAGGTTGCCTCCCTGTGCCTTTTCTATAAATACTTTCATAGTAATTGTTCAGATGAACTTTCCTCATGCACAAAAAGGCTCCTTCACATTCTGCAAAGCTGACTATTGTGTACCCAGCCAAAATAGGTTTCAAAGATACCAAATTATTGGAATGACCCCTTAACATCTCCAGAAAAGAAAACCTGTGGGCCATCATTAAAAGAGATATTTCTTTACAATAATGTTCACCCTGTCCAAAGCCCAAGAGCCACTCGAAGCAGAGGACCACAGAGTGAGAGGTAAGAGGCACAGTTTATGGTGGCATGGAGAGAAGATAACAGTTAACCCTAGACTTGAACAGATTAAGATTTAGTGATCAAAGAACCATCCTCTTGGAAATCGGTTCCACAAAGTGGAATTTGTATCTCACCAATGAAATACAAAGGGAATGAGAGTAGCTCACTATAATGTGTGTGTCATGGCATGTCTTAGCCATGAAGTTTAGAACTGATAGTACTAAGGAATGTAGTTCGTCTTAACACTTTCCACGGAAATAGTTATGGAATAGCAAGAGGCTTACTACATTTCATCTGAGGGAAAGGGGTTGTAGGGCGGAAAATGATTTATCAGCCATAATGACATGGAAATGCTTTTGGATTCTATTGAGACCAGAAAGTGAAGACTGGGCACCTACTGCCCATATATGGCAGGAATACTCCATTCTCAGCCGGATATGGCTCTTCTGAAAGTGGAGGATAGCAGGAGGAGTCAAGTACTTACTGGAGTGGTATAGGGAATTGACCATTTTCCAGCATATTTACCAATGGATTGTATATATGAGTTCCACTTGAGGTCTGGGTCTCAATAGGCACTTAAAACATGGGGTCTTCCTAGGAAGATACCAATTCACTGCAACTGGCAAAAGTTCAGGGTCCACTCAGTGATGATGTAATGTTACCAGTTTGTTTTTCGAGACTTTGAATGTGACCAGGCATTTTTTTTCCCACTGAGCTGTTAGAGCTAAGACAGATGACAGATCAGTAGTCAGGCTCTGGTCATCTAGAATTTTTGAGGTGCACTCATATGCCGTTGCATCATCAGCATAAATATTTACAAAAGATCGGAGTATACTCTTAGGCAGATCATTGGTGTAAAGCCAAAAGAGAGTTATACTGAGAAGAGTTGGGGGATGTCTTCATTGAGGACTGGCCATTAACAACTACCCTCAGGGACCTACCCTGAAGGAAGGACTTGATAATTGATAAGATTCTTCCAGTGATTCAATACCTGGTGAGCTTATATAGTAAGCTTCTATGCCACACCTTATTAAAGGCCTTTGGAATATCTAGTGAGTTTGTCCTTGAGATGTATTGTTTAGTGCCTCAGTGATTCTCTGAATAATGACAGGATATTATTACTGGACTGAGCTGAACAAAATCTGTATTGCCAGTCAATCAAGAGGCTGTCTCTATTAAGGGGATCAACAACCTTCTTGCTGATTATAGCTTCAAAAAGTTTGCTAATGACACTGAGGAGGCTGATGGGTGTAAAATGAGGTTTAGATGAGCACTCACCCACATTCATGAAAATAGACCATACACTTGACAACTTTGACAGACTTGGAAAGGATTTCTCCAAGCAGCATTAAAACAGTTTTGCTAAGATCATGGTTGTAGGAGAGTTATAACTCTGGGTAAACAATTATAAACAACCCCCTCTAATAATTATGCACACAAAAATACACATAGAAAATGAAAAACAACAAAATGTTGAAATGACAAAACAAGTCTTATTTATTATCTGGTTGACAGTGGTTATTATGTAGTGTTAGATGTGCTTTTGAAATTTATGATTTTACATCAGGTTTAAACAAAAATTTGTTGAAAATATTCATTTTTGTGTCCATGTGGTATGGTAGATAGAGAAATTGATGCACAAGGTTCTGTTACTTGAAATTTTTTCTTCACAGGCTCTCAGTTTTGAAAAGTGCATAAATGAGGCATAGTTGAGTTTGCTTACAGTTTTGAGTTTCTGTATCCAGGAGAAAATCATGTCAGGGTCACCACTTTTGTTATGGGGGTTTTATGATGTTCGGGTAAGAATAAGAAACACAAAACATGGAATTCAAAACAAACA